GACCCTGGGATCATGACCTGAGCCGAAGGCAGCCACTAAACGACTGAGCCACCCAGGCGCCCCTTCCTTATGGTTTTCTTAATAAATTTTCTTTAACTTTATTATATACATTTAACAAGCAAAACAGGTATTAGTCAACAGCCTCAGTAAGGCTTCTGGTCAGCAGTAAGCTATTAGTAGTTAAGTTTCTGGGGAGGCAAAAGTGATAGTCGGATTTTCAACTGTGCAGGGAATTGGCGCTCCTAACCCCGTTCCTCAAGAGTCAACTGTATATTGTTTTCAACAGTTTGTTTTAAAGCAATGATGACATGACTTGTTTTGATTGAAATGAGTTGAATCGCCTTTGCATAATCCTAGTTGTGAATAAAAAATGTTCAGAAGCAAGAGTCTGTGACTTTAGAAAATCCATTTTTCCCCGACAAGAAGCTTTATTTTGGTAACTGCTCTGGGTCTTAGGTTTTTGTGCATTTTGGCTGCGCTGCCCCATCTCATCCTCCTGGCTGGGCCCAGAGGTGGGCTTCTGTTCAGGTCAGGTATCGCCTCTTCGGGGATGTCCTCCTGTCCTGCCTAGCTGGGTTTGGGGCCCATCTGTGCTTTGTCATTTATTTCCATGGGCATGGTCATGATCTCAGGGTCATGGGGTCGCGCCCCGCATTGGGCTCTGCCCTCAGCGCGGGGTCTGCTTGTGACTTTCTCTCCCTCTGCCCCTCCCTCCCGCTAGCGTGCTCTCTAAAATACATAAAATCTTTACGAAAATATTTAAAAGACCTCTATCCAAAGCTTTTTCCTTCCAAGTAAAAAAATAAGCATTTTAAAAAGATTTTATTCATTTATTTGGCAGAGAGAGAAGAGGGGAGGGCATAAGCAGGGGGAGCGACAGGCAGAGGGAGAGGGAGAAGCAGGCTCCCTACTGAGCAGGGACTCGATCCCAGGACCCCGGGATCATGACTTGAGCCAAAGGCAGACACTTAACCGACCGAGCCACCCAGGTGCCCTGGAAAGCTTCACATTTGAAGGACAAAAGATGTTTCGTGATTTTGGACCCACACATGGTCGGCCACCCTCATTGTTTGGTCCCTAAAAGAGCAGGGGCCACTGTGCTGGGCATGAGGACATTGTCTCCCCAGGGACATGCAGACTCACAGCTGGAGGTGCCTAGCCTCCTTCCTTCCAAGGAGGACAGGCATCCAGACCTCCTGCAGAAGAAAGTAAGCCCAATAGCCATCCTTGGAAGGCCGGCCAACATTAAAGATGCAACGGGAAGGTCTTCATTCCCCTATGTTTCAGAACTGTGAAATTTTTAAATTTGACACTTATCCCTAAAAGCTTCCTCAAACCATTAGAACACATCTCAGATTTTCTCTTTTGCTTGGTGGATTTGGGTGACTGGTAAGAGAGGTCTTTGAATTGCTGTAAAAGTCATCTCTCGTTTATTAGTAGGATTGGCTCCCATCAGGTCCATAGGATTCTGTTTCTTCACATTTGTCAATTCACCTTTATGACCAGACCAAGAACCGACGGTATTTCAACCATGTGAAATTACTATTTTTATGGATAAAAATGGTCAAGGAGTGACAATTTTATATGGCTTAATGTAATTAATAGACTGGGCTAGAGTAACTATAGGAAATAAGCTTGTTCCTGAATGGGTATGTAAGATGTAAGTTTAGAACATAAGAACTAAAGGGATATTTCAAAAAGTCCAAGTCTAGAATATTTGATAAACTTTATTGAAATTACCTCAGTATGACGTGGTAAGTTCTAAATGCCTATAGTACAGTCTTCAAAAGAAACTTCACTATTATGAATCAAGTTTAATATTTAAGTATATTTAATATTAATCAGTAATATTTGAGTATCAGACTTATGGAGCTGAATTCTAATGCAGAATAGAAGAATAACCAAATAAAAATGACAAAAACATAAAAATCTTTGCCTATAAAAAATTTTCTCAATTTAAAAATAGTGAAGCGTTTCTTTGGTAAGCAAGTCTTGTCTTGTGAGAATGATCTAGAAACATGAATGCTCAGTGAGAGTGGACAGAAGACAGTTCAATAGATGCTTAGACCCAAGAACTCACCTTTGTCCGAGGGCAATAGTAGTGGTTCTGGTACATCTGTGTGTTTGGTTTTCGTGGGTGCCTTGTGTTCAGCTAATACTATGCACAAGTGAAGTGGCCGAAGGGGCATTATGCTAAGTGAACTAAGCCAGAGAAAGACAAATACTTTATGATCTCATTTATATGACTATCATCTAAAAACACTGATCATCTCAGGAACAGACTAGCCAGGTGGTTTCCAGAGGCAGGGGTGGGGAGTGGAGAGGACACAGGTGAAGGTGGTCAAAGCTACAAACTTCCTGTTAGAAGATGAATAAATCCTGGGGAACAGCATGGTGACTATAGTTAACAATACCGTATTACATGCCTGAAAGTTGCTGAGAGAGTAGATTCTAAAAGTTCTCATCACAAGGAAAAATCAATCATCGTTTTTGTGTGAGCTGACAGATGTTAACTAAACTCAGGGTAGATATTTCATGATATATATGTATGTCACATCATGTTGTCTACCTTTAAAACAAAGTTATATGTTAATTATATCAATATTAGAAAAACATTTTTTTAAATGAGTGAAGGGGCAAAAGGACAGGACTGAATTCGCAGAGGAAGGAAGCTGCTGGGCGCCCCCCCCCGGAAAGCGAACCACTCTGGTCTGCGGCAAGGGGCCTGCGCTTCCCGACTCCGTAAGGGCCAGGGAGACATGCCCTGCGAGCACAGAACGAAAACTAGCAGAATTTATGCAATCTCATGAATCTTCTCATCTTACTTTAATGGCAGCAAGGTTAATCCTGTAATACTGTAATACTGTACGAATAGAACATGACTAACATTTTATCAAAACATTTTTCTTTTATAATTTTTATTATACCATGGAATCCCCTTTTTAAGTGAAAATACATCAGATACTGTCAAAGGAACAATTTACAAAGTTCTATTTACATGTAACTTTTCCAGAGTGCACCTGTTGCACAAAGTGAGTATGTGGGTTACTTCATTCAAATAACAGGAATTTGCAATTTAATAAGTGAGATAATTCTCCTTGAAATCTCTAACAATCTAGTTTTTTTAAACAAAATGTTTATTTGGTCTTCTAAATGACAGGCACCCTTACGAAATGTATTTCAACTAAAGACTTCTACTAGATTTAAGCTACAAGTTTATAGCACCAAAATCCATTTTAATATCAGTATTATTAATATTGTTTTCAGTATGTACAATTTCATGTAGACATACTTGCAAAATCAACTTCAGACAAATATGAATGTAAAATTTTACAAAATGGGAAAAGATTTTTAAAAACAGCAATTTAAAAATGCAAAGAATATTCTTTGATTAGATAACCAGGTAAGTTTAAATTGGTTAGCCTACAGAATGTTTTAAGGCCTTAGACAATCTTTGGTTTAAAAATGAAGACTATTTCAGATCCCTAATCTATTAGAACATTTTAAAGCTATAGAGAAATACTGTAAGTTACTAAAAGGTTAAGAGGTGCCAGAACTTTAAAGATCAAAGTAAACATCAGTTTTCTCCCTTGTAATTGATTTTCTGTATTCAATTGGATGAATGGTCATCTTTAAAGATATTTATGAAAAAATGTTTCCTTCAATTATATAACTGTCATGTCATGGAACTGGAATGGTACAAGCAAAACATTTCTTCATACTTCAGTAAGTCATAAATGAAAAAGATACTATCCATAAGTATGATACACATACTGGGTAGGGCCCCACCTACCTATTAAAAAAAGAAAACTTACAGTAGAAGGGGTAGCATACTTCTCAATTCACTGACTTACAGGACAGTGCAAGCAAGGAAGCCTTGCTGTTGGTGTGATGGGGACCCTTAAAGACTTGCTGCACGCTCACTCCCCACCCTGCGGCAAGGGAGCAGTCTCTAAAATCAAGTAGATTTCCAAAGTTGTATATGAAAAGAAGATAGAAACACTTGCTAACTTGGAAAAAAAAAAATATCAGTGGTCTCTAACTGAAAGGGTATAGTGCAAAGTCAATCTTTGGCACCTTTAAAACACCGATACTAACTCCGAAAAAAATAAAGAAGTTCTTTAAAAAATAACCAGTTCTTAAAAGGGAAGCTTTCGCCTGTTGAGAAGGCTTATTACCAGAGCACACAAGACGCTCCGTGGCTCACTGAGTAAACTGTCCAGCCCAAGCCAAAGGAGGGACACTTTGTAATTCAATTTCAAAAACTCTTCTTTAAGGAGTCAACAGACCTCACCCCTACTTTTAAATGGGATTCTTCCCTTTATTCCCTGTAAATCATCTAGCCAGGCCTGAATGCTGGAGGTCAGGATGGTCTCCGCCATCTTCTCCAGGGGCTGCCCCGAAACAGGGCCAGAGTCCAGGTCCAATCCCCCGTTGCCCTGCCTGAGCTGGACGCAGCCTTCACCGGGGCACACCGTTCGCGTGTTCATTTGAATACCTTGAGCATCAGCAGTAGGAAGACACTTTTCTCACGAGAGATTACTTTTACACAATGTGCACAAGAAAGTGTAAGACGAAAGGAAACGTAATAAACATTAGATTTATGAAGGACAGTTTTCCTTACTGGTTGGACAGTTCGTAGCGAGCACTGAGTCACGACCATCTATGCAATTCTGTGGTGTGCACACAAATTCCCAATGCTATGCAACAGCTAATTCGTACACAGGCCAGTTGCTCATTTACTTTACAGTAATCATCAGTTTCAATGACCGTTTGCATGTGCCTCAGACTCAAATTCTATCACGTTTGTTATCTTTGATTTCATGTGTTTAGTAACAGCCTTCTTTTTTCTTACTATCTTAAGTAACCGAGAGTTGGCTCTATGGCTTTTACAGGGAAGAAAACAGCTTGCCTATTTAGATGCTTTTTACTATGAGCTTTCACAAAAATTTAATAATGCCCAATTAAAAACTATAATGAATTTAGACATAACTATACTTTTAAAGTACGGAACCTGGCCAACCCGACGACTTTGTTTAAACAAGTCTAGGTGCTGCCGACTCACACCCATCAGACAAGTGTGGTAACCTGGAATGTGCAGGAGGCCCCTTTCTCTCCCCCAAAGATGGGCTGGTACTCCTGAACAGAGGACCAGATCTTGAGTCATCAGTTAAAATTTTGGCATTTTGCTTTCTTGATAGAAACAGAAAGCACACTCTTGCCAAGTTCATGTATTCTAAAACACGGCAAGGGCTCCATGCAACGGGATAAGGAAAGAAAGCTGATGAGGGTCTTGTACCTAACAGGTGCAACAGCAATTCTCATATCAGTCAGGTCCCTTTTTGATTTAAAAAAGATTGGTCCTTAAAATGTTCGTAGTATTTTACATAAATGATTTCCTAAACTTCTTTCACAATTGTACTTAACTCATGACTCATCACAAACCATTTAATTAAGCTAAATTAAAATTGATTTTAGCAGAAAAAAAGTTACAAAATACCACCTATTGATTTTACAGTTTGAAACTGTTAACGTAAACTAGAAAAAAAGATACATGTAGTTTAAAAAAAAAAAAAAAGATTTCCAGTCTTTTCCCTTCTACCCAGGAAAATGTTACATCTGACATCACCACCATGAGCTCTTGGTGAACCCTTCAAGTCTCCCAAAGATTGGATCTTGGTGGACTTACTGGTGGTCTCCTTCAACTCGTCTTTTGCGAACTGTGAGGAAAAAAAAAAAAAGCGTATTAGAAATCTCGGTTACTTTGTACAATGTTAACTTCCTAGTAAGGAACAAGTTTCTGTATTATCCGTTAGAGTTGTACAGAAATGAAATGTCCATTTGTTCACAGGGCCATTAAAATAAAAAATTTGCATCCTGCATCATTGCCATTTACTTGTTGAGAACTGAGGGGCTTCGAAATGCAAACCACGTGTCCTCAGCTCACGTGAGCTCCCCCAGGAGTGGGAGAAATCTAAACTGCTCTGTATCCACCTTCACGGCGCTGCACCCATCTCATTTGTTATTAAAAAAATTGATACCGGGCGCCTGGGTGGCTCAGTTGGTTAAGCGACTGCCTTCGGCTCGGGTCATGATTCTGGAGTCCCTGGATCGAGTCCCGCATTGGGCTCCCTGCTCAGCAGGGAGTCTGCTTCTCCCTCTGACCCTCTTCCCTCTCGTGCTCTCTCTCATTCTCTCTCTCTCAAATAAATAAAATCTTTAAAAAACAAAAATTGATACCTGTTAAGACAATGCCTTATAAATTACTGTGTTAAATTTTGAAGTCACATTCCGACAGCTGGGATTAGAAAGTATTAAAAGTAACGATTGAGGCACCACAACCCATTTCCTTAGTTTGTGAAAGACCGTAATGAAAACATTTTTGTCATTTTAGAGGTAAATGACTTGCTACTGCTTTCCAAATTTTCCTTCTAGTGTCTCCTACAAAATGAACCAGGCTCTAACAAAACAACAAAATACAAAGGAACGGACGCCTCAGACCCTAGTCAGGCGGTAAGGTCCTACCCGGCGGCCATAATAGACTCTGGGCACCAAAGTGCTCAGTCAACTAGTTCAGTGGATGGAGCAAAAGAAAGGTGCAGAGGTCTCAGGAGCCCCCAGCCGCTTTGCAGACTGGTGACCTCAAACCAGTAGGCCGTACTCAGTGATGGTAGGATGGGGTCTTCAAGCAGACATTCAAGTGATGTGCATAAAAGCCTGTCCAGTCATTGGCTGGGTGCTAGCCAGAAAGCAAAAGCAGGAGAACTGAAGTATCAAGCTCCCATGAGCATTTTTATACTTAGCTAATTAAGTGCAACCTTCACTCTAATTTTAGTCCATGTTAACGAAAACAAGTCTTGCGTGTTTACTGAAATATTAAGGGAAAAAAATCAAGTAGAGACTTGAGTTCTCAAATACAAACCTTATTCATATATATAGATCTCTGAAAAATACGGAAATACTTTCTTGAAAGACCAGATTAACCCTTTAGGGTAGAACATTTCCAAGAGAATGCTGAATTGCAGCAGGGTTTGGAGATTATTGGCAGACCATTTCAGGTGTTAAAATGCATGTCGTAAAAAACACATGTAAAGGAGGTCTGTGACAGAAGAGAGCAGACAAAAAAGGTTGGAAATGATGCGGTTAGCTGGTGTGCGGACAGTAATAGGAGATTCAGAGTTCAAGCAAATAGTGCATGTGTGCCGTGGACCCTCTCTGCTGGTCACAGCTAGGACGCTTCTTAGCTGGAGAGATGGCAGTAGGTAGGATTATTTCCAGGAACAGGAAACAATGAGAGGTAAGACATCAGAATCAACACTAAAGATCTGATATAGCCCCATGTGCAAAGTGAAGGAAAACTAGATGCCCCGGAGATTCTATGTTTCAAGTTTTGATCTGTGAGGTCTTTCTGGCGGCTCCATGTCAGACTGCCGGTATGAACACAGGGTCTTGACGCTTGTCGCCTTGACCTGTGTGCCGAGACCGAAACGTAGGGTGGAGGGTGCTGGGAGCACACACAGCAGAAGACAGGGACAACAGCCAGGCTGGACTCTTCTTCCTCACTCAGTGCCTACTTGGTACCAGCAGTTCCTCGGTTCAGCTGCTAGATGAGAGGCTCATAAATTTGGCCCTATTAACAATTCATTTTTTTAAAAGATTTTATTTACTGTCAGAGAGAGAGTGAGAGAGAGCATGAGGAGGGGGAGCGGGGGGCAGAGGGAGAAGCAGGCTTCCCACTGAGCCCGGATGCGGGACTCGATCCCAGGACCCTGGAACCATGACCTGAGCCAAAGGCAGATGCTTAACTGACAGAGCCACCCAGACACCACACCTATTAATAATTCTTTGGCAATTTCTTTCCAAAACCCACTCCACTAATAGAAGTTCTCAATACTTTATGATCAATTGCAAGTAAGTTCTAACCTGACATCCAATCTCTAGAATAAAAAATAGTTTTTTTTAAGTATCATCTTAATCATGCATTCAGTGGCCAATAATGGCTCTCAGATGCCTCCCACAAACAAATCCAAAAGAACTAAGTTTCTTCCCATCTCCTTTTAGTGCCTCCTACCAGCACTGCCTTTTAATCTGCTGACATCACTTTTTCATTGTGTTAGCTTCCAGCAGCAAGTACTTACTGCGAGTTTACTCTGGAGGCAGCAGCCTGCAATGAGTCCCTTTTCACAGTCTGCAAACTGTCCTCAGCATATCAACAACTAGCTGGATCCCAAATGGGGGCTTTTATCCATGCACTTCCCCTCTCACTTCATGTCTGAAACTCTGGCTTGGCTCAGGATGAAAGAGCATGAGGTGGGGGTCTCCAGAGGTACCCACAGAAAGCTTTTGCTTTCTCTCACTTCGGCTTCACGTCAGACCACACCTTCAACATGGCCTCCTCACCCTCTACCACACGTGGCCATGGACACCTACTCAGCTGCACAGCGTCAACATAAAGCAGCCCAGGAAGTACTTTTCATGTGTTCTCTCATCTTTTGGTATACTGTTCATTCTCGATGTAATTAGCATGACTTTGCAAATTACACTGAGAATCAACAGTACACCGAACACACCAGTTTTCTAAAATGCAAGAGGCTAAAATCTTCTCTGGGAAACTAAGTCATCAAAGGACAGACAGAAAGGGTTTGAACTAATACTCTTCATAGTAATTTGGGTTGAGGGAAGGAAGCTGTAACTTTTCTGCTTTAGAAACCTTTAAAGAATGCAAACTCAAATATGGCTGAAGCTTAAAAGAACTGCATCACTTTGAAGTGTCACTCCCTTTAAGAAGTCTTATTTTAATTCCTCTCTAAACACATCTTTAAAAAATATTTCAATGACAAACACCAAACTTAAAGGAAGAGTCAATTATCAGAAACATGTAGAAACAAAATTACAAGCCTCATATTCTTTAATTCAGCCTTGGCTGGAAAACTTATTTCAAACAAGCACAAGTTTCAGCAGTATTTTCAGTAGGAACTGGGAAAAAATGGGCAACCTCTGACTTTGACCGATGTGTGCGGCGAGAAGACAAGCTGCCCAGTAATAGCTGGGTCAGGGAGGCCGGAAAGGACAGCAGACACGTGCCACACGCTATACAACTTGGATCAAAACTATAATCCATATATCATGTAAAAATGAATTTCTATCTAGGCCTGTTTGATAAAAAGGGTAAAAAACTTTCCTGAAATGTTGAAATCTTTACTAGCTCCAAGAGGAGACTTGTAACTGAGAACACAACTTTTGTTCCAGGAAGCATTTATATTATGTTTCTGGTAGAAAACTGTTTGCTTAAAGCTGTGAAATCTTTGTGACAGGAAGATTTCCCCTATGAACCCAGTAATCACTACAACTGCGCTTAAACTGAACTCTAATTCAATCAACATAAAAAGGACTGTGCAGATTTTAAAAACAAAGGCCCAAAAATCTGTGTTGAAATCTATTGTAAAAAAAAAAAAAAAAATCCCTCTAATACATTAGTTTAATGATACAATTCAGAAATTTGATTTGAAATGCATATGCCTTACCTAAGTCATTGTTTTTTGTTATAGCGTTAGCCGCCCTGGTTCGGGGTCCCTGCTGTGTAAACTGATATCCAAATTTAAGGATGTTCGTATTTTCCTCAAGCATCTTGGCCATTTCCAATTCTACAGCTGTCCCCAACTGCTGCCTCTGGAATAATTAAAATAAAGAGTAGTATTAATAAACTAGATCAAAATACTTTTCAAGATAAGACTAAGACGTTCAGCTAAATGCTGATTCTGCTGGTCTTTTTATATTTTCCCACTTCGTACAACATACATACATACATAAGAGAAACAAAATTTTGAAGCTCAGTGTATGTTCATACAGACATCAAAAAACTGGATTACCACAAGGATATACCACTTCATACCCATTATTATAAGATGATTATAATCAAAAAGACAATAACAAGTTTTGGGCCAGAATGTGGAAAAATTGGGAAGCTCACACATGCTGGTACAAATGTAAAATGGTGCAGTTGCTGTGGAAAACAACTGGGCCATTCCTCAGAAAGTGAAACACAGAGTTACCCACGTGACCTTGCAATTCTGCTCCTAGGTATATACCCATGAGAAATGAAAACCTACGTTCATATAAAAACCTGTATATGAATGTTCATATCAGCGTTACTCCTAATACTCAAAAAGTAGAAACAACCCACATGTAACAGATTATTCAGCCATAAAAAAAGAGTTACCTACGGATATATCTTACAGCATGGATGAACGTACAGAATATTTTGCTAAGTGAAAGAAGGTAGACACAAAAGACCACATAGTATATCATTCCATTTATAGGCAAATGTGTAGAGACAGAATGTAGGTTAGTGGTTGCCAGGGCTGGTGGGAGGGGTGATGACAACGTTCTAGAATTAGTGGCCATGGCTGCACAACTCTATGAATATGCTCAAACCCAGACTCAAAATATTAAGTTAATATTCTGGACACTTCCCATGTCCTCATCTCCCTTCAGGCCACCACCTTCCCAAAAGGCTCCCCCAAAGCCCCTCCCACCTGCCTCTGGAGTCCGCAGCCTCCCCACGGCGGAGCCTCACTTACTGCTGTAGAACACGGACCTGATTGTCAATCTTGAGCTCTGCCAGGCTTTCATTATCTCTCAGAGCATCAATCAGTGCTAGAATCCCAGCTCCTGTAATAAAGTTGGACTCCATATTTAAGCTCTTCAAAGTTTTGTTTACTTTCAGCATATCTGCAAAAGCCTAGAAATTAAAAGAAAAATATTTAGAGATAAAAACTGACACTACCTATCACATATTCTACCTGCCATAAACAAATACAATAATTAGCAGAACTGCTCTGATGCTTCTCATTAGATTGTTTTAGCTTGACACACCACCTCCCAGGCCTCACATCTATTTTTCACACATCCCCTGTCATGGTATTTAGATTTGTCACATGTAATCCTCTGTTGGTAACATTCTCTGCTGCCAATCACACTGTTATGTTCACTCATACCCTACTCCTCCTCCTCCTTACTCCGGTGTCTCTCACACGTTCTCTTCATTCCTGTGTAGGACTAACTTCATCAAGGTCTCTTTGGAACATCTTTTCTTACTTGGGTCCTACTGCAGCTGAGTTACTGTGTAGCCAAAATGAAGATAAATTATGGACTGATTTTCAAGGCCGAGATGGGAAGGGATGCCTAAGGCAGAAGGCCAGAAATGCTCACAAGTTACCAGAACTTAGAGTCAAGTTAAAAGAAAAGGCAAGAGAGGAAAGAGATACTAGAAAGAACTTGGGACACACATCCATACATGTGTACTTTTCATTAGTGACAACCAGCTACATGAAACAAATCCCTTATTCATCTATCTGTATATATGTTTCTTCAAACATTACTGGTGGTCGATTATTTGATTAAGTACTGCTCTGCAGATTTAGAACTAAAACATACAAGTTCCTGCCTGATGGAGCTTATATTTTAGCGAGGAGATGGTAAAAAAAGAGCTATAGAGGAAGAAAATAGGGTAGAGGGAGAGTGCTGGGGGCAGGGGTGGTCAGGAAAGGCCTCACCAGGAAGGTCACAATGGAGCAATGACTCAAAGTGGTGACACAAAATGGTGTGAAGTATCTTTAGGGAGAAAGTTCTAGGCAAGAGAAACAAGGAGGAAGGCCCTGCGTTCGGGGCATGCGTGGCACGTCTGAGGAAGGAGAATGAAAGAAAGGAAGGGCAAGTAACGGAGCCTGGCTGGCACAGCTGGTTGAGCGTCTGACTCTTGGTTTCAGCTCGGGTCCGATCTCGGGGTCGTGAGATCAAGCCCCGCATCGGGCTCCATGCTCAGCAGGGGAGTCTGCTTGAGATTCTCGCTTTCCCTCTCCTTCTGTCCCCTCCTCTCTCTCTCTAATAATTATTAAAAAGAAAAAAAAAGGGGGGGGCAAGTAAAGGATTGTAAGACCACTGAAAGACGGTGATTTTTATTATTAGTCAGATGGGGAGCTGCTGGAGAGTTCTGAGTATAGGAATGAGGTAGCTAAACAAGTTTTTAAAAAATCCCTCTTGGGGGCGCCTGGATGGCTCAGTTGGTTAAACATCCCATCTTCAGCTCGGGTCATGATCCCCGGGTCAGGGGGTCAAGCCCCGTGTGGCGCTCCCTGCTCCGCGGGGAGCCGGCTTCTCCCTCTGCCTCTGCCCTCCCGCCTCCATCCCAGCTCCTCCTCCCTCACTCTTGATCTCAAGTAAATAGGTAAGTGAATCACTTTTGATGCTATGCCAACAAGCTGGTCTGGAGGTGGGAAAGATGGACACAGGCGGCTCAGTGAGGAGGCTGTTCCAAGAATCCAGATGAGAGAAGATACTGGCTTAGACTGACCGGCATGGTAGTTGAGAAAATGGTGAGAAATGGTTAGATTCTGGAATATCTGGAAGACAAGGCTGGCTATACATTTAAGGTTGTGAGAAAGGGAAGTCAAAGATAACTCCATTTCTTTTTGTCTTGAGGAAAGGAAAGGATGAAGTTGTCATTTAGTGAGACAGGAAAAAATGTGAGAGGAGCAGGTGTGGGGTGGAAGCCAGGAGTTTGGTTTGGGACCATATGGGATGTCTGTTAGACAGCCAAGCACATAGTTCAGGAGAGGGGCATGAACTGGGAGTAACAATCCTGGGAGTCCAAAGCATACACAGACCACAAATAGCAACGAGACGGAGTGACATCACTGAGAAAATGAGCACGGACAAAGAAAAGAAGACCTAGGGCTGAGCCCTGGGCCGCTCCAATGCTTAGCAGTTGAGAAGATGTGGAGGGACCGGAGAAGGAATGTGTAGTGACAAGAGAGGAGAGTCAAAGGGAGCGATGTCCTCAAAGCCAAGTCATACAATGATCAAGTGGGATTTACCTCAGGAACGCAAGGTTGACTTAATATGCAAAAGTTAATCAATGTAATACACCGTATTAGTAAAGTACAAAAACCACACGATCATCTCAAAACACACATTAAAAGCATTTGACAAAATCCAACACTGTAGATCCATAAATGGAATCCTCTGCAGATGTTAATGGTGTAGAACTTTATGTAGTAATATGAAAAGATCTCTAAGATATATTGTTCAGTGAAAAATTAAGTTACAAAACAGCATCTATTGCATGACTCCACTTATTTTTCTTTAAATTATAGGGAAAAAATAAACATAAAAGAGTAAATAATGTATTGCCTAATAGTGAGCTAAACATCATTTGAAAAGAGTAAATATTGATCATTAAATCGGCTGAGCCACCTTTGTAACATACCATAGTCACAATTTCACTATTATCAGTAGCAGCTTACTTACAACAGCGACAGGGTCATTGCTCCGTGTGGCCACAAGACTGAAATATTTCACGTGTGTGTTGGTTTCCAAAGCTTTTGCAAAATCTTTTAGGGTTGGAACTGGGATATTCTTGGAAGACAATCATGTGAAATATGACATTTTAGTTTTCAGAAAATTCGGTCCATTAGTCAAATATATTTGTACTTATTTTTTTCATTATTAAAAAGACTCAGAAATTATATAAATAAAACATTTAGTCTACAAAGGAAAACAAACAGCCTCCTTCATATCTATTTGATTTCTCCATTATGGTACATTTGCACAAACTGCTGACCTAGAGGAGAGTATATACCATCATTTCTCTAGCATTTTGATTAAAGAAACTTTCATTATTCTACACTTAAACTATTTGGATTATAAGACGTCAACACCTGGGTATTCAAAATGGGTCCTCTTTTCTACAAAGGCAGAGATGTCACTTAGTTTAAGCTGTCATAAGAGAGATTAACTGTACACTACCTAAAACAGTTCTAGAAGGCACTAATTTCTCCCTTTAGTACCAAGACTACAATTCCCTGTAGCTGGTTATTTTCAGATTACCTGTTGATTTAGATATGTGAGGACTGAATTTTTTTTAAATCAAAATTAGTGATCAACTAGGAATGTTAGCTTTTTCCAAGGCTTGCTTTCTTCAGCTCATAGGAAGGAACACCTGCTAAAGGAGCACAGAGGTCTTATTCCCTAGGTTCTTAAAATTCCCAGATGCTCTCTCAGCCCTCGATTCAGACAAATCAAGATTTAAAATGAGGAATTCTTAAAAATAAAATAGACGAGGAATTCTTAATGCAGCTATTATACAATAACCAATACTCAAGAGATAATCTGAATTTACTCTTTGGTAATTAATCATCCCTATGCCCTCCTAACTCATTTCTTCTTTACTCCAAGGAAGCATTGCATTTTTTTTAAAACTCAAGATCCCAGAAAGCCCACTACTAGGTGTTTACTCCAGAGAAATGAAAACGTATGTTCACATGTTCATATGTGTTTAACGGCTTTATTATAATCATTCCAAACCAGAGGGAATCCATATGTCTATCAAGTGGTGAACAGATAAACAAATTGCAGCATATCTATACAGCAGAATACTACTCAACAAACCGCTGACATACACAACCACACAGATGAGTTATGCTAAGTGAAAGAAGCCAGACTCAAAAGGCTCATACTATATGATTCCATTTATAGGACATTCTGGAGAAGGCAAATGAGGGAAAGAAAACAGATACGAGTGGTCAGGGGCTAGAGCTGGGGGCAGAGAATGACAAAAAAGGGGACTGACATGTTCCACATCTATGGTGGTGGTTGTACAACTTCTGCATTGGCCAAAACTCATCGAACTGTACACTGAATAGGCAGAATTTCAGTAGGTAGCAGAATCTGGTTCAATACAAGGAATACCTCAAGAAACCCGATTAAAAAAAACCAAAAAAACCCAAAAGACTAAATGATCTTAGAAGTAGGCAGTACTTTGGAAGCCAGATTTTGCTGACCGTCTGTAGGGTTTACATTTTCATATGATACTTTTTAAAAAGCGAGTCAGAAAAATATTATAATTTCTAAAATATAAAGGAAACGAAGCATACTGTTAGGAGCAAAAACTTTACCTTTAAGTAGAAATACAGAATCACACTTTATCAAAACTGCCCAACTCTCATCCTAGATCTAACTTACTTAAAGCAAGTCAAAACTTTGTTTGCTTAGCACACGTACCTTTATATTATTCAAATTAACTTCAACAAGACAAACATCATTTTCTTTAATTCTCTTTAAACTCTCTTCAACATTGGTTGGATTTGGTGGCTCATCAAATACTGGAAGAATCTTTTCACCTTTTACCACATCTGTAGTAACAAACGAAAAGAGCAAGAGTCTCACTGGCTGATACTATTACAGTGAATACATACATGAACTTGATAATGCAAAGAACACACACGTACATGCACGTTCAATACAACTAACCAGAAAGTTTTCCCCCACAATTTCTAAAAGATCCTTTACATATTAACACACATTTAAAGCACTCAAATAAAATGTTATCCTCTCGTATCATTTTCTCTTAAACTAGTAATTACTGTAAAGGCAATATGAATCACAGACTTAAAGAAACACAGCCTCAGTGAGGAGAATAAGGTGATGAAGGACACATGACTTCTTTCTCTTATGGGGAGTACTATGCCTGGGAAAAAGGAGAGGATGAGTAGGAACAGGGAAGGGGGAGTCAGACAGGTAGTGGTACACAGAAGAGCTACCGAGACAGAAAGCCCCCAAATTACTGCCCTTCTTCACTCCTATCCCCCAATCCTGCACCATATATACCACATCCATACACACGGCCAAAATACAACTAAGCAAAGCTGAAAGAGGACCCAAGAGCCTTGAATCCCCTAATGAGATGTAAGTACACTTTGATGTGTACGTGAAGGTCTATGAACACATGTAACAGGCAAATTTAATGGATAAATTTTCTGGGGAGAAAACCTAAGCATCAGATTCATGGCAAATGACCAGAAAAAGTTAAGAGCAACTGACAGAAAGATTGACAGGGTCACTGTCTGGCTTAGTTCTTCCCTTCTACCCTCCTCTAGCTTTTAGGAGCAAAACTCATCTTAAGACGGAGTATACTGGGGGCGCCTGGGTGGCTCAGTCGGTTAAGCATCTGTCTTCAGCTCAGGTCATGATCCCAGGGTCCTGGGATCAAGTCCTGCATCGGGGTCTCTGCTCAGCGGGGAATCTGCTTCTCCCTCTCCCTCTGCTCTTGCTCTCTCTCCCATGGTCTCTCTCTCAAATAAGTAAAATCTTAAAAAAAAAAAAAAAAGTCAAAGTATACTGAATAAATTCCCTCTAAGAGTACCTTGTTCTTTTCAAATTTATCATACACATGCACACATAGTATCCTGAGGAGATCAATTTAGACAATGGCCCGAAAATTATTTTCCTGAGGAACGTGGAAAGATCGGGATATATTTAGCCTGGATGTATTTATTAAAAGAAAGTATGTTCATTGTTTTCAGATTTATCCTGTAGAAGAAGAGAGAGATTTCAAGTTGTTCTGAAAGAATAGGTATAGATTGCATGGGGGCAGAATTTGGTTCAATACAAGGATAAGCTTCCTACCAGAGCTCTGCTAAAGGGACAAAGTGGGCTCCCTCTCACCTAAGTTCAGCAAGGTAATCTTCTTCAAGATTGTAAATCAAGGGGGCTGGAGAAGAGCTTCCTCACTACAAAGAAAATTGAACGAGTTCTATCTCAGTTTTAAATGTTATAAAACCAAAAGATTTCTTTCCTCACTCCACAGAGTATGTGCATTTAAAGAGCACTGCTTCTAAATGAAGTAATGGATCCAGTAAATGGGATGCTGAAACCATTAAGAAAGGCTCATGGGAGACTTTAAATGATGGATCAGGCTGCTAACATTTGAACATACTGATGAATTTTGGCACATTCCCCAAAGAGCAATGACTAGACTTGACAGGCTTCCTAATGTGATTCAATCACCACGTCGGAAGCATTCTTGCCTCCCAAGCCCCCCCTAAACAAAAAAAAAAACTGTACCTGAATCTGAATAAGCCACTAGAAAATAATAGTTTACACAAACAGACGAGACAGAGAAATAAGTAAGAGGATACCACAAGGGGAAGATGGTGGTAGAGGAGGAGGACCCTAAGTTCATTTTGTCCCACAAATACAACTAGATAACTATCAAATCATCCTAAATACCCCAGAAATTGACCTGAAGACTGGCAGAACAAACTCCACAACTAAAGCCAGAGAAGAGGCCATGTCAAAAAAGGTAGGAAGTGTAGAGACCTGGTTTGGGAGAGAAACAGATCATGGCTGCTGCAGTGGGGAGGGAGCCGCAGTTGCAAAGAAGGGTGAAAGACAGACTAGCACACAGGGGAGCACATGGGACAAAAGAATCCCCATAGCAACTGGCCTAGAAAGTACGAGGGCCCTGAATTTCATGAGTTCTTGCAACCAGTGGGGCTTAAAGCCCGGAGTTTTAAAGGTCAGCGTACTTGGCTGTGGGAGACCGCAGCAGACTTTGGGGCTGCTCTTAGAGAGAAAGCAAGCAAAGAGTCTGTGGACATACAGCATGGAAACAGCAATCTGAGGAGTGCCTGGGGCACATAGTGGGGAGGTTAGCTCCTCATCTCGGAGTGTGACCCAAAGCAGCAGCGTTCACAGAGAAACCTCTCAAGGAACAAAGGAACTGGTAGGTGCAATTTCCCTCCTCGGCCTCTCAGCGTAAGTACAGGGTCAACACTCACTACCTAACTTGCTTACACCAAGCCCTGCCCTCCATGCTCTGGCAGGTCCGCCCTTCCCTGTCATACTTGCCTCAATCCCAGCACAGCAGAACCCCTTCCCCAGAAGACCAGCCCAAATCCCTGCCAATACCAAGTCTCCCAACACGGGTGTTTTGCGAGGCCTCAGTTCCAGTGGTAGTGGTGACAGGTATCATTTCACAAGCAGATCAGAGCACATCTAGTTAAAATGTGCCACATTCAGGCAGGGACCAAATGCTGCCCACAACAGGCAAAGAGAATCTCTGCAGACGACTGGCCTGAAGGATAAAGCGGCTGGTGCAGAACAGCAGGTCGCACGCAGTACACACCGAAGACAATCCTAGAAGCACCAAGCCCTGGGGAACAGGGACACTATATGGCAGGGCACTAACAGGACCTCTTCATAAAGCCATTACCGTCAAGAACAGGAAATGCAGCTGACTTTCCTAACACAGAGGAATAGGCACAGACTTAGACCAAATGAGGACAAAGGAATTTGTCCCAAATGAAAGAACAAAACAAGGCCACAGCAGGAGTTCTAAGCAAAACAGATATAAGTAACATGCCTGATGGAAAAATTAAAGCAATGATCATAAGGATACTCACTGGACTTGAGAAAAGAGTAGAGGACATCAGTGAGACCACTGCCATAGAGATAAGGAATAACAACACAGATAAAGAGCTCAAAAAACAAAATGAGAAACATGCTTGATGGAATGAACAGCAAGAAGGAAGAAGCAGAGGAATGAATTAATGACCTAGAAGACAGAGCAATAGAAAGTAATCAAGCTGAACAAAAGAGAGAAAAAAGAATTATGCAAAACAAAAACAGGGAACTCAGTGACTCCATCAAACATAACCTTCATATTATAGGGTTCCCAGAAGTAAAAGAGAGGAAAAGGGGGCAGAGAATTTATTTGAAGAAATTATAGCTAAAAACTTCCCTAATCTGGGGAAGGAAACAGAAATCCAGATCCAGGAGGCAGAGAGAGCCCCCAACAAAATCACCAAAGAAGGTCCACCCCAAGACATATTATAATTAAAATATATTGTGATATATAGTAATTAGTAATATAGTGATAAAGAAAAAAATATTAAAAGCAGCAAGACAAAAGACAGTTACACTACAAAGGAAACCCCATAAGGCTATTGGGATTTTTCAGCAGAAACTTTTCAAGGCAGAGGAGAGGGGCATGATATATTCAAAGTGCCTAATGGGAAAAACCTGCAGCCAAGAATACTCTATCCCAGAAACACTATCACCCAGAATAGGAGAGAGAAAGAATTTCCCAAACAAAAACTAAAGTTCATTAATATTAAACTGCCTGGCAAGAAATATTAAAGGGGACTCTGAGTGGAAAGGAAAGACCAAAAATGACAGTATGAAAGTAGGAAACACAAAAGCAGTAAAAATGAATATTTCTGTAAAAAAAAAAAAATCAGTCAAGGAACACACTAAATAAAAGGATGTAAAATATGACATCATATGCTTAAAACGTGGGGAGGAGAGGAGTAAAGAATGGGTTTAAACTTAAACAACCATCAACTTAACATAGACTATATGCAGATGTTATATACCTAATAACCACAAATCAAAAACCCCTAACAGATATGCAAAGAATAAAGAGAAAAACCCAAATATATCACTAAAGAAAACCAGCAAACAGTGAAAGACAAGAAATGATCAGAGAAAATCTTCAGAAAGAACCACAAAACAAGTAATAAAATGGCAATAATACATATCTATCCAATAATTACTTTGAATGTAAATAAGACTGTTCCAATCAAATAATTACTTTGAATGTAAATAGAACGTTCCAATCAAAAGACAGTTACAGAATGGTTAAAAAAGCAAGACCCATCTATATACTAGAAGAGGCACATTTTAGACTTAAAGACAACAGTAGATTGAAAGTGAGAGGATGGACAAACACTTATCATGCAAATGGATGTCAAAAGAAAGTTGGAGTATCAGTACTTATATTGGATAAAATAGACTTTTAAAACAAAGACTTAACAAGAGACAAAGAAGGACACTACATCATGATAAAGGGAACAGCCCAACATGAAGATATGACAAGTGTATAAATATGCCCCCATATACACAAAAGTCATTAACAAACATGAACTAATCAATAACAGTACAATTATAGCAGGGGACTTTTACACCCCACTTACATCAATGGACAGATCATCTAAACAGAAAATCATCAAGGACACAATGGATTTGAATGACACACTGGATCGGATAGACTTAACAGATATATTTGGAACATTCCATCCTAAAACAGCAGAATACACATTCTTTTCAAGTGCAGACAGAACATTCTCCAGAATAGATCCCATATTAGGCCACAAAACAAGCCTCAACAAGTCCAAAAAGATCGAAGTCATACCATGCATCTTTTCTGACCACAATGCTATGAAACTAGGAGTCAACCACAAGAAAAAAATCTGGAAAGACCACAAATACATGGAAGTTAAATAACATGAAAACATGCTTATCAGCACTCATCATCAGGGAAATGCAAATTAAAACTACAATGAGATATCACCTCACACCTGTCAGAATGGCTAAAATCAAAACCACAAGAAATAACAAGTGTTAACGAGGATGTGGAGAAAAAGGAACCCTCCTCTTGCACTGTTGGTGGGAATGCAAACTGGTGCAGCCACAATGGAAAACAGTATAGGGGTTCCTCAAAAACTTAAAAATAGAACTACCACATGATCTAGCAATCGCACTACTGGGTATTTACCCAAAGAATACAAAAGCACTAATTCAAAGGGATACATGCACCCCTATGTTAATGGCAGCATTATTTACAATAGCCAAGATATGGAAGAAACCTAAGTGTCCATCCATAGATGAATGGATAAAGAAAACATGGTATATACATACAATGGAATATTACTCAGCCATAAAAAAGAATGACAGCTTTCCATTTGTAACAACATGGATGTACCTAGAGGACATTATGCTAAGTGAAAGAAATCAGATAAAGACAAATACCATATGACTTCACTTTTATGTGGAATCTAAAAAACAGAACAAACAAACCAGGCTCTTAAATATAGAAAACAAAGTAGTGGTTGGCAGAGGGCAAAGCGGTGTGGAGATAGGCAAAATAAAGGGGATTAAGAGGCACCAACTTTCAGTTATAAAACAAGTCACAGAGATGAAAAGTAGAGCATAGGGAATACAGTAAATAATATTATAATAATATAATAATATTGTATGGTGACAGATGATGATTACATTTACTGTGGTAAGCACTGAATAATGCACAGAATTGTTCAATCGATATGCTGTACACCTGAAACTAATATAACACTATATGTCAACTACACTTCAATAATAAAAATCATAAGAAAATCATAAGGAAAATACATTTACAGTACTATACTGTAATTATCAAAAAGAATCCATGCATAAGATCCACACATTTCAAACCCATGTTAAGGGTCAAAAGTAAATTAATTAATGAAAAATTAAGTTACCAGAAATAGCCGCAGTATGATCCCATTTTTGTAAAAAACAAGACGATGTGTAATATGTATGTATATAACATGCATGTACATATGTATATACATATAAGTTTGTATGAACACAATATGAGTCTAGAAGGATATACACCAAATTGTTAACAGGTTGGGTGGGGGTGGGGGGAGCAGACTGCACGATGACTATGAACAGAGACACTTTTACTTCTTACCTCATTTACTTAGGTATTGTTCAAATGTGTTACAAAACTATGTATTACTTTGGTCCTTTTAAAACATCCTATAAATGAATTTTTTTATTTTATTATTTTTTTTAAGATCCTATTTATTTATTTGACAGAGAGAGAGCAGGAGAGCACAAGCAGTGGGAGCGGCAGAGGGAGAGGAAGAAGCAGGCCCCCTGCCTAGCAGGGAGCCCGATGCGGGGCTCGATCCCAGGACCCTGGGATCATGACCCAAGCTGAAGGCAGTCGCTTAACGACTGAGCCACCCAGGCGCCCTAAATGAATTTTTTTAAAAAGCCTTGCCTTAGGCTAGTTAGTATCAGTATCAGATTAAAAGGTTTAGGGGTTGAGTGGTTCTGTGGTTTCTCCTGAATCTGATTTTGTAACATAGTTTGTCAGCATTTTTTTAGATTTCTTGAAAATCAGTAACATTTAAAATAAAAAGTCGGGATGCCTGGGTGGCTCAGTCGTTAAGCGTCTGCCTTCAGTTCAGGTCATGATCTCAGGATCCTGGGATCGAGCCCCACATCGGACTCCCTGCTCAGCAGGGAGCCTGCTTCTCCCTCTCTACTCCTCCTGCTTGTGTTCCCTCTCTCGCTGTGTCTCTGTCAAATAAATAAAATCTTGAAAAAAAGAAAAAAAGAAACGAAAATGTCAACAAAAGCCAAGTTTGATTAGTTTTTATAGTGTTTACCATTAGTATTATTTGGTGAGGTGAGAGTGGTTCCAATTACGTTTGCTGACACATTCAGAACAAAATATTTAGGGGTGCCTGGGTGGCTCAGATAGTGAAGCATCTGCCTTTGGCTCAGGTCATGATCTCCAGGTCCTAGGATCGAGCCCCACATCAGACTCCCAGCTCAGTGGGGAGTCTGCTTCTCCCTCTCCCCCTGCTTATGCTCTGTCTCTCAAATGAATAAGTAAAATCTTTAAAAATAAAATAAAATATTTAATATTCTATTTTCAATGGTTTTCTACACCAACACTAACTAACTGGAATCTCAGCTTTCAAGTACATATACAAAGCATTTGGTATGTATATACTGAAGTTCATACATGGAGAAAACAAAATATATTTAACAAAGGATTGAAATTCACAATGGATTACAAGTACTTACTTGAAAAATGTTCTTGGTCGACACCATTACTACTTCCCACTATATCACATAACTGGACATTCGTTATCAAGTTGTGCATCCCAAGAATAGCTATAAATATAGAAAAAGAAAGTTATTTTTATTTCCATCAGTTTCAAACACAAAGAATTGATTTTACAACCAAAATTTTCTGATTTTAACATTTTCTGAACATTTTCCTACTGAATTAAATATTGATTTTGCAGCCAAAAAAGAGACAATGTCTCCTACAATCTTTCTCATTAATACCCCTATAACTTCCCCCCTTATTTGGGATTTAGATTTCCCCACATTTTTGAATTCAGACACACAACTAAAGCCAGCCTAACCCTAAATGTAAATCTATACTTAGCTCCATCTGGTGGCTAAGAGAGAATACTGCAATGATCTATTTTTGCTGTTCATCCTTCTCACAAAGGGTTCTAGAACAGTGCGATATAAGGCAGATTTTCAACTTCACCATTATTTCTACATTTGTTAACCTCATGTTCATTTACATTCATATTTTAGCTAAGAGTAGAATACCAAAAATATAGCTGAAGTCTCATCTTTATAAGATTAAAGTAGCATCCCTCAAAAACGACAGGAGAGAGAAATTGGGGTTTCGGTTTTGATGCTCTTTTGCACACATGTGGCAGAAGCTACAATATGCCCCTGGTCCATTCCACTCTAATGAAAGCACCATCTACAAATTCAACAGTCATCAGCATCCCAAGGAATGAGGCATCTGCTCTGGCTGTAGCACCACACGTTGATTGTCCCTTTCCTGGGTCCTTCCCAAAGAACCATCATTCAAACATGTTAGCTTTTGGGGTTCCTTGGTGCGAAGATATCCCCATGTGTCATATTTTTCTACCTAGGTAAATGGGTGCATGGAGAGGAAGGTTGGGGAGATACTGGTCCAGATAGGAAACCAGCAATGATGAAAATAACAGGGAGGTTTAGAGTGTTCTAGATATATGTCAGAAAGTAGGGAAAGGGGTGAGAATAGCTCAGAACTATTTCATCTGCTTTCCAGTTACTCAACTTGGGGAGGTCTTCCTTTTCTTCCCCAAAGTTTATTTATTTTTAGTAATCTCGACACCCAAGGTGGGGCTCAAACTCACGACCCCAGTATCAAGAGTTGCATGTTCTTCTGACTGAGCCAGCCAGGTGCCCCTCATCTTAGGGACTTCTGATAAAATGGGACAGCAATCGACCCTGGAAACTCTTTTTCGATGCTTAGATGGGACAGCTTCTAGCTATGCACCAACTAGTAAAAGATTTTTATAAAGACTTTCAAATATGGTAACATGGGAAAAGAAGTCAAATAATACAATACATTCCATTAACATAAAAATTTCACCACTGAGAGCATTTTAAAAAATGAAATCCTTTATATCAGATTTATAGTGTAAAAAACAAAACCAAATATGTGGTCTACTGATTCAATAGCACTTTGCTAGGCAAAGGAAGCATCTGTATGATGTATGTGCTGGCATTCCCTTCCCCTCCCCTCCATACTCATTCACCCATTTGTTTTAGGAGATACCTGCAAGGTCACACAATTCTGTATCAGAAGCACTTGTCAAAGCTTCTTCTAATTCTGGATCAAGAGATACTTTTTCTTCTGTGAAAGTCTGCATAGGCTTCTGTTTAGGGATAAATATTTTCCCTGTAAAATAAAGCAGTTTGTTAATTCCAATACTACTACTATGAATTAACTCATTACCATTTTTACTCTTGTTAACAAAAATTATGAGAAGTATGTACAACTGAAGCTGAAGGAAAAAGTCAAGATAAACACCTACAATAATGTTGTTTCATCTTCAATATGTATTTCAAGTTTCCAGGGCAATACTGTGGCTGTACAAGTTGGAATGAAGAAAAAAAAAAAATTAACTGAGAAATTGTCCTATTTGTGAAAATAAAAATAGGCTCTTTTTGGAGTAATTATGAGTTACTCAACAAATACTGAATTGAAAGATGAATGTAGGAATAAATTTTAGAAATCTGTAAAACTTTAGAGATTAAAAAAAACAACAGAATCCACTTTCTTACTCTTAAGCAACAAACTGTTAGCAGAGGCAACAATCTAAGTTTATGATTCCAGAAATTCAAGATCTAATTGCAAAGAAATTCCTGTATGTCCTAAGGGGTATTCTGAAACTTTAGGTCACTGTTGTAAGCCTTGATGGACGCTAATAAGGCTGGCTGTTAAAAAACAGGTTTTTAGAAAACTAAAATCTTTATTATGTGAAAATCAGTATTTTATTACCATATGTTCAATGCAAGATTGAAAACATGAAGGGAATGGAAAATGATAATGATATAACTGCAGCACAAGCGGATCAAACAAGACATACTCACACATGGTGGGGACTAGGTTACCAAGAATGCCTCCGATTTCTCTCCCAAGTGAAAAGTCTTACTAAATGATCTAGAAAGGTCTATGCATAGATTCACAGAAGTGCCAATTATTTTCTCTTCTATTAGGAAACTACCAGGGAAATATGCAAGAATATTTGGCCTGATGAATCTATGCAGTGCTCTATCAAAAGAATGTCTGTGGGTTTATAATTAGTATAGCGAGTGTTGTGTACTTCTTATTCAAGGTACATATCAATCAGTGTAACCAAAAGGAATCCTTCCACAATATAGACTGCTTCTAGCAATCTGGCGAAAACTGTTCAGCTATTTTCTGCTAAGCTGTCTAAAGGATCTTAATTTCTGATATATTTTTTTTCTTTTTTTTATTATGTTATGTTAATCACCATACATTACATCATTAGTTTTTGATGTAGTGTTCCATGATTCATTGTTTGTGCATAACACCCAGGGCTCCATGCAGAACGTGCCCTCTTTAATACCCATCACCAGGCTAACCCATCCCCCCTATTATATGTTTTTTATGGTGAACATTTCCATTTGGTTCTTATTAAAAAATTAGTTTCCACATCTCTGCTGAAATTCCTCATTTGTTTATGCATGCTGTGTACCTTGTCTGCTAGATTCTTTGACATTTTTGTCATAGTTATTTTGAAGTCCCTAGCTGATAACACCAATATCTGGGTCATGTCTAAGGCTTATATTGACTGTCATCTTCTTGAGTATGGGGAATATGTGTCTTAAGATCTTTGACTGCATGCTAGGCATTTTTGTATAAAAGTACAGCAGAGACTGAAGGAAATGATATTTCTTCTTAGAAGCATGCCCTCTAGTCAGGGCTGAATCAAATATGCTCTACAGTTGAGTTAAATCTGGGCTTTGTCACAACTTCAGTTTGAGTCAGTTCCTCACTGGCTTCAAACACTTTGAATATAGGATCAGGACTTTCTCTTCAGTAAGGCCTCGGATTATAACCCTCATGAGGTTCTGGAGATCTCCTGTGCTCCCCCTCCTTTTTTTGAACTGTGAACTGTGAGGGATTTCTACTAATATGTAGCCCAGGCTGCCAGCTTTCTGGATGGCTTTTCCAGTCCCACCCCGATTTTTGGGCTTTGGCAGATCTCTCAGACCCTCTCATCTTATCTTCTCTACACTCTGTGAAGTTGGGGTTGGCCTGGAAAGGATTTCTCCCAGCCCTCCTGCCTCTCCTTCAGTCTCTTCCAGCTGAAAACCTATGCCTCAGGAATTTTCTCTCAGCTCTGCTTCACTGCCCTTTTTCTTCTAGTATCGCTAGCACTAAATGAAGAGCTGAAGAAAAGAATTGGGGGTAGTGCAGTCTTACCATCTCTAAGGCTGCACTGCCCAATATGGTAGCCACTAGCCACATGTGATTATTTAAATTTAAATTAAAATCAGAAAATCAGTTCCTCAGTCATACTAGGCACATTTCAAGTACTTGATAGCTACATTTGGCTAGCACGTAGCTACCACACTGTTTAGCATAGACATTGAACATTTCCATTATGGCAGAAAGTTCTAGTGGACAGCACTGCTGTAGGGCTTCTCTGGATTTCTCACCTATCATCCAGTCCCTACAGAGCCACTAAAAGTCTGTTAAAGTTAGGCTGATTTCTCCTGACTCCTTTCTATGGTGGTTTTCTCCCTATATTTCAATCAGTAAAAAGAGAAGTGGCTCACTGATCTAATGGAAGGCTTGTCACTTTCTAGAGCCATTTAGGTTTGTGTCCTCAGGCTCTCTGATAGGTTTTTAAAAACTATAATAATGCACTTATACTGCTTGTTTGGGTTAGTATGGAAGAACAATAGTCTCTTGCAACTTTCTACATCCGAGTTAGAAGTCGTTCTGGTCAAGTATTATTTAACAAATGGCATTTGGCCAATCCACAATGTATCTGTATTAGTAAGGATGTTTTTAACTGCATGTAATAGAATGCTCAATTAAAAGTGGTTTAAACTGGTGCTTCTCAGGCTTTCATGTGCACCTCACTCACCTGGTGATCTTACTAAAGTACAAATTCTGATCAGTAGGTCTGACATGGGATCTGAGTTTCTGCTTCTAACTAATCTCTGAGATGATGCAGATACTGATCCATAGACCACTTTTAAAGCAGCAAGAGTTCAAACAGTAAGTATTTTTATAATCTCAGTTAAGTCCACATGTAGGTGGTTGCAGGGTTGGTTCAGCAGCTCTCAGTGTTGACATCAAGGATCCAGGGTCCTTCCATTCTTCTCTTTGGCTACAATCAGCATAAAGGCCTTTGTTCTCAGGCCATCAGTCTCAAGATGACCTTTGCAACACTAAGTATCAAGTCCTCATGCAACAAGGTCAGGGCAGGAAGGAGGGGCATAATTTTTATAAGGAAATCTGTTATAAGGAAAACTGTCCAGATTTCTCCTCAGGCTTCTCTGACCTGCACTGGTCATATGTCCAGCTGCAAGGGCAGCATTGTCATTCTATTTCACAGATAGGTTCTGCCAGTAAGGATGAAGCGATTTGTGAACTGTTACTGAACGGGAAGCTATAGTGTGTGTTCGGTACTGAACTGGATGCAGTACAGCTCTGTGCTCCCTTGATTCCCTGAACATTCTGTTACAGCTACACAGATTCCACATATTTGTTTGTCTTTTGTGAGCTTTACAAAGACATGGTTTATGTTCTCTGTTTATCGCTACATCGTTGTCTAGTGCACAGCTGGCAAGCCAATTTGTTGAATAATTAGTTGGGTGATCACCTCCAGTTCAACTACATCATTTTATAAAGTATAACTTAAATACCCTGGTTCAAAGTTACAGAGCAGAGTGAACACTAGAACACAGGCTCCCAAACTCTTAATCCAGTACTTCTTCCAATAAACTGGTAGCTTTCAAACTTAACTTTTGTAGCAGTGGACTTTTCCCCTCAAACAAATACTTATGTATATGATGGTATCCATAACTGATCTTCTTAGTACCAAATTTTGGAGTTCTGATGATCATTAGATCATCTTTTATCATTGGTTCACAAAGGCAAATCCAAATCATTACATCCTGATAACTCCGTAGTACTTTTCTTAGTGGTTGACAGTATGATTTTTTTTTTAAAGTTTTATTTATTTATTTGATAGAGAGAGCACAAACAGGGGGATAGAGGGAGAAGAGCAGGCTCCCCGCGGAGCAGGGAGCCCAGTGTGGGGCTCGATCCCAGGACCCTGAGATCATGACCCGGGCTGAAGGCAGATGCCCAACAACTGAGCCACCCAGGCACCTGGGTTAACAGTATAATTAAAGTGGCATAGAATTCATGCCTTTGTCATTTCAGGATAACTACATTTTCCTGAGCTCAGTCTCACCTGCATTTTCAACAGTCTAATGCAGGGGTTCTGAAGATTGGCTGCACAATGGATTCACCTGGGGAACTTTAAAAAATTCTGATGTCCAAGTCCCAGGGATTCTGATTTAATTGATCTGGTGTGCTATATGAGACATCTGGATTTTTAAAAGCTCCCTAGGGATTCTAACACATAGCAGTCAAGGTTGAGAACCACTAGGTTACGGTATTCACTTACTAAACAAAACTACACAAGCTATCAAATAGCTGCCCATGTCTTGTACTAGGGACCAATGGAATCTAAAGCATCATAAAAATCTAAAATGTTTATTTTTGTTATCCTCATCTACATTCCATAGAGGCATTATTCATATCTAATTTTTACCGTACATAAACTTTTGCTAATACTTACAAAAACAAAATGAATCTCATCATAAAAAACAACAAAGCAAAACAACAAAATTTCAAAGGGCTTATGGAAATATTCCTGTGATACAGAATTTTACTGTTAATTTATACAGCTCTGAGACAGTTTGGTACCTCACCTGGCGCTCCTCTTTATAATAAATTCTCTGTATATAGACATTTTTGTTGTAGAGGTACTTAGCCTATACAATTATTTTAACAATATGAAAAGTAATTACTTTATATTTCTTCATGGTTAGTTTAACACTAACACTGTAACAATGGTCTTTTAATGCATATATACAAAATCTATTTATAAATAGATTACTAACAGTAAGGAAACTTAATTTTTTAAGAGAGGATAAACTAGGCAAAAATGAAGTTTAATATTATGAGTACAAAACCTAAGGAGACCCCCCAAAATTAATTTATAGACTTAAACAATCCCTTTCAAAATCTCAGCTGACTTTTTTGCAGAAAGTAATAAGGTAATGTTAAAATTCATGGAAATTCAAGAGACCCAGGACAGCCAAATAATCTTGAAAAAGAACAAT